TTGTACCTCAGTCGGAATTCACTGGGACTCACGTTCCCATCTGAGCATTTAACGGATCATTTCAAAACAGTGTTTCCGAAACATGAAGAGTAGTGCATTTTGTGACCCAATAATTGCGGGGTGGAGAATACAGGGGGAGAAATGTGTTAGTTTCTGATATTGTGATGGTACATATCCCTGTACTGGTCAAGCCTTCTCTTAAATGTGTTCACGAAAGAGGACATGACGACGTCTACAAGCAGAGCATTCCATGCCTTAATCATTCTGTGTCCTTGCGTCCGGTCTTGCTCCAGTCACGCGTATTTTCGGAGGATGTCTTTTCAAGCTAATCGTGGTGTCCAGTTCAAAGATGTTGTCGGATCCAGAGCACCAATCCTAACCCCGCAGCTTGCGAAAAGTATGAATTACGTCGCTGCGTATCTGTTTGTAGTCCAGGGGAATGAGGTCAAGATTGGTCACTCGAGTTTCTTATGGTAGGTTGCTTTTGCCCCTGACGAACTTTGTTGTCCGTAGTTGGACTTTTAAAGATTGGCCGGTCTCTGCCAGACCATGTTTCCTGGGCCTCAATGGTGAACTCCAACTTGCCAATGCACATTTCTTCGAACTTCGTAAATGCCTTCTTGATGAGATATGAGCACGGCATTGCGAATTTCGCTAATTTCATGCAGTGGAATTATTGTTTTAGTGAGGATGTGATCCACTCACCTAGATCTTTCTGATCTTCTAACTCTGGCAGCGATGCATGATTTAGATAGCACGCCTTCCAGTTCACAGAGCTGGTTCTGCGTATTCGCAGAAATTTGCATTCGGTAGCATTGAACGTGAGGGGCCAGTGTTTTGACCATTGCAAGAGTCGGTTCAAATGTGTCTGTAGGTTTGCTTCATCGTCCTCGTTGCGGATAACGTTCCGAAGCTTTATGTCGTCAGCAAACATAACGATGTCACATTTAAACCCACGAACGCATTCATCAATATATTTGAGGAAAAGCATAGGGCAAAGTGCGGAGCCCTAAAGAATTCCGTTCTCAACCGTCACATCCGCCGACTGTTGGTGACCAAGACGGACAATCTGAGATTGGCCAATCAAGAAGTCTTCGATCCACCTCAAAAGCTTGCTCTTTACCCCTATGGGAGGCGCTGGCGAGGCGCACTATCAGAGGTCTTCTTGAGGTCCACGAAGGCTACATGCATCACATCCCCTCCATCAATCGCTTGGATCCAGCGTTCTAGAAAGTAGAGCAAGTTGGTCAAGCAGGACATTTCACTACGGAATCCCTGCTGCACGCCAGAGAGCAGATGATGTTGCTCCAAATACTGCATCAGTTCGCTTATGAGCGTTCGCTCCATAATTTTAAAACATATGGAGGCGAGGCTTACCGGTCGGTAGTTGTTTGTGGAAACACGAGTGCCACTTTTATATATCGGTGAAATCCACGCAATCTTCCACTCAGGTGGCAATCTGCCTGCATCGAGGTAGGCTTGAGAGAGAAGACCTAGGTGTTCTGCCAATTCTGCGGCTAACTCCTCCAACAAATTTGCTGGTATTTCATCGGGCCCTAACAATATCGCTTCTCTAAGCTTCAGTAGTTCTTTGTGAACAACTGAGTCGATTTTCGGGACCTCGTTCACACCATACTTATCAGCAGTTTAATTGCCTTCTGTCGTAAAAGACGGAGGAAGGAACTTAGATAGATGCACAGCCTTTTCGTCATCTTTGCACAGTTCAACGCCATCCTCTATTTTTAACATAGGGATAGGGTCTTTATTGCGAATGCATCGTCTTATACGGTTGTACGAAAGCTTTTAGTTTTCTCCTACACAGATCGCCAGGTTACTCTTGAAGTCTCCTCGCGCTTTATGAACGAGGCTACTTACTCTATTTCTCTGCGCCTCGTTGCTATTTATTGACTTTATAGTCTTCTCCATGAGAAGTTTTCCACAGTTTTCACTTGCGATTTACTCCGCTCTTTTGTGTACCCTATAGCCATCGGGGCCTGCTGATGATCTTCTTTTTCGATCTAGTACGATATCTTCAGTTCAGTTTTTTAAATGAAGGGGAGGCGAACGCCTTTGAACTCCCTATTAGTTACGATAATGTCGCAAAAAACAATGCGTAAAGCAAGTGTGAAAGAACGGTAGGTAATTAATTACACGAAGTTGTATGAATGTATCAGTGTATGTACACTCTTTCAAAATTGCGAAATAATCGGTACGCCGTACTGAGTGGCCCATGTAATATGGAAACGAGCATTTATGTTTCACTCAGGATTCATTGATTCGTATGTGTATGTCCGATGGGGACAGTCGGCGAAACTTTATATGTTAATGCTACCTAGATATGGAGATTAACATATTTTGTAATGTATAACGTTTGGGTGGTACAAGGGGAAAGATTAGTTAGTTTCTGATGAAGTGGTGGTACATATCCTTGTAGCGGTCAAACTTCCCCTTACATATGCACACAGAAAAGGACATGACGACGTCCACAGGCAGAGCGTTACATGCCTTAATCACCCTGTGGCTTAAAAAGAACTTCCCTGCGTTCAGTCTTGTCCCAGCTACACGCACTTAGAGAGGATGTCATCTCAAGCTGGAAGTGGTGGTCGGCTCAAAAAGTCGCTGGATGCGAGGCAACAATCCCGACCCCGCAGCATGCGAAACGTTTGCTGTCAGCAGTCAAGGGAAAAGAGGCCAAGGCTGGACGGTCGAGTTCCGTAAGGTAGGTTTTTTTTGACCTCTGACAAATAAGTCCTTAAATTCTAGCCAATTCTCGTGAACACACTCCGTGGATGTTGCTTTTCAGTCGCCGCGGCGCATGCCAATTTCCATTTTGCTAAAATCTCGACGCCATATGCTGCGTCTGCTCGTCATGCTTCGATCAGGTACAGAGAAGACCGAATAGTTCCACTATAAGACTATGTGGTAACTTTTGCCGAGGGGAGGTAGACAGTTTACGACATCGACGCTCTCAAGCACTTTTGCCAGCACGAGGTCCAAGCAGTTGGCTAGTTGTCCTTCACGTAGTCTGGTTGGATATAAGACTTGTTGAGCGAGATGCGACTTTTGTACTGCTTGTAGGAGGCGGAGATCGAAGTTTAATTCTGAACGTGGGGCAGAATTCAGACTTCGGTCGATAGTCTGAGCGTTAAAGACGCTCATAATAATTACATCTGGTCGGATCGAAAGTTCCTCCAATGTCGCTGTCAGACTACTGTCTGACTCCGGGTCGTTCCTTGGTGGACAGTAAGCCGTAAGGATGTCGAGAACTTGTGAGTCTAGAGTTCTGTTGGTGAATCAAACACTCTCAGTTGTATGTGCGAGCTTTTATGTTTTTCCTACACAAGTAGGACATAACTGATATATGTGAGCACCCACACCTTAACGTCCCACCCTACTGTGTGTGAACAAATGGTAACCAGAATGAGCGACTTTGCAATCGTTTACGTTCGCGGAAAGCCACATTTAGGTAACGGGTCCAGTAAGGGTTGGCGAACGTAAAACTTAAGCTAATCTAATTTAGATAGCAGACATAGCAGTACAGGGATATGTACCATCACAATATCAGAAACTAACACATTTCTCCCCCTGTATTCTCCACCCCGCAATTATTGGGTCACAAAATGCACTACTCTTCATGTTTCGGAAACACTGTTTTGAAATGATCCGTTAAATGCT